AGTTAAAAATGGATATACATAGCGTGTCTAAAAATTAATAATAATATTAATTGTACATAATTTGAGATTTAATTAATAGGGAACCACTGACTTGTGATTTTTTAAATAGATAGCAAACATTATTAAATAGTGAGATTTACTATTAAGTTTAATATCACGATGCATTAAATCTCAATAAAATTATTTAAAAGTTAATAATCATTTAGGTAAAAATATATCTTTATCAATATCACAAGAACACACTAAATAATATAACGGCCATAATTAAATATGTTTAACTTTTATTTTAAAAAATCACATTTAATGTAAAGAAAAAAGAAAGAAAAATTATTAATAAATATTATTTTTCCTCACAAACATCAATTGAGTTCTATTATTTTTATTTTATACCAATGACGTCTTATTTTTAATAATTTATTTTAATAAAATCTTAAATTTCATAAATACTATATTTTATTATAATTTTATCATTCTATTTAACAAACAGTGACACCTTAAGGTTTGAAATAAAAAAAAATTAATCTTGACTTATATCTTTAAAGATTGCTCGAATCTTAATTTACACCCTCAAAATTTACAAATATTAATTTATATACTAAAAGATATAAATTTATTTCAATGTGCATCTAGAACTAACTATTATCCATTTGCCGTTAAAAATATTTGGATTAATTATAACTTGTACCTTCAAAGTTTAAATATTTTCACATTTATGACTTAAAAAATTACATCTATTAATATTCGTTAAATAACTCTCAATTGTGTTAGNTTGTACCTTCAAAGTTTAAATATTTTCACATTTATGACTTAAAAAAATACATCCATTAATGCTCGTTAAATAACTCTCAATTGTGTTATGTCATGTCTAACATTAAACAAAAAATAACTATTTAATGGGTATTGTAGGTAAAAAATAGGTATTTTAATTTTTTTTTAAATAGTATTATATGAATTGTCGCAAATGTAAACTAATATGACACAATGCAATTGACTCGACAAAAAATTATTTTTAAATGTGATAAAAATATTGTTTTATTAACTCGAATACGATACAAAAATAATAAGATATGACACAAAATGATACGATATAACAAAATTAAGAGGTATTTAATGATGATTAATAGAGGAAATTACTTTTGGACCATAAATATAAAATATTTAAGTTTGAAGGTGCAATGTACTATTAACCTAAACTTTTTTAACAACAAAATGAACGGTAGTTAATTANCAATTTACTATTAACCTAAACTTTTTTAACAACAAAATGAACGATAGTTAATTCTGGTGCACATTTAGGTATAAATTAATATTTTTAAAATTTGAAAGTATAAATTAAGATTTGAATCATTTTTTGAGGTGCAATTTGAGATTAGCCCAAATAAAAATCTTTAGTCGGTAAATCAGAGAATAAGCAGCTGTTATGAACTCGCGCATTTGCGGTCGCCAGGAAGTAATCGGTTTTTAACTACAAATGCCAAAAGAACTCAAAAAGTCCCATAAAAGTTCATCTCTTCTCACTCTTTCTCTCTCTCTCTACAAAACTATGTTTCATATGTGATCTGTTTGTGAAGAATTTAGGATGGAGAAGTTACTAGCGGATCTTTGTCTGAAAGTTTTCCATTTGTTGGATCACCAGAATCTTGCAGCTGTTCAACAAGGTCAGTAGTATCATTATTCATAGAACATCCTCCAATTATATATATTCTCAATGTTAGATTTGAGAATTTTGTATTTTGTATGGTGAGATATTCAATTCATTATAAGATCCGAACTGGGTTTGTTGAATTCTCCTTCAATTATGCAACTTTGCTTGTAATGGTTATGTGCTCATTCATTTTGATTGTGGTACTGATACATGATTAGTGAAATTGCCTTTTTGTCTGGGGTGTTGTGTTGTAAATTATTTTGTAAGATGTTTTTTTTTTGTTGATTCCTTTATAAACTTGACTAAATCTCAATTCTGGATTAACACAAAAATGAGGAAAATTAAATTCTGCATGAAATCGAAACCAAATCTAACCTCGTAGCTTATAGCATCTCTAAGATTGACTTAAATTTTTACTCGATTAACATTTGAGTAAAATATTTGATTTGGTACAAAGGGGTCTAAAGGACAAANAATTTTTACTCAATTAACATTTGAGTAAAATATTTGATTTGGTACAAAGGGGTCTAAAGGACAAATTCAAATTTCAAGGAGGATAAACTCAAATTTAAATGATGGTGAAATATGATCATTGGATCTTGGAAGGAGAATGAAATCTGGCCATTTGTGATTTGAGTAAAGGTTTGAATCTCCCCTAATTTGAGTAAATATTTGATTCTCGCTTAATTTTATATGAGTTTGAGTATAAAATTGGAGAATGTTTTTGGGGATTTTTTTTACCCAAATTTAAATTTGGGTTTAAAAAAGGTAAGAGCTTGAGATGCTAGATCAATGTGTTGTGGCCCAAATTGTTATCAGCACAATTATATGAATTTGGCCGAGTTGTAAAACTGGTTGATATCACGTCTTTTCTCCATTATCTTCAGGAAAAATATTTGGAGATCAGGATTGGGTGTGTTTATTGACCTTCTTTCTGAATTTGTTACGACGAGGCGTCCATAAATTTTGCTAGATTTTAAAAAGATTGAGCTGTTATGTGGCACAACCCAAACTGTTTTAATCTGTTGGTCTTAGATTCTGCCTATTTTTAAACCAAGATTTCTCATTAATGCTGGTCATTTGTTTTGTTCCAATGAGAAATTGAGATGAATATTGCTTGTATCTTCATTACAACAGTGTCAACATTCTACTAAACCATGTTATGTAAGGCCTTTGGTAAACGAACTCTTTTGACAAAATTCGTTGTTTGTGTATTGATTGCGTTTTAATGGTGGATATGGAATGAGTGACCATGCTGGTGTATGATTGGAGAAGGGAGTATGGAAGAAAGAGGAAGGGGGCTGAAGTTTGACGACATGAGAATAAAAGTTAATATTAGCTTTTGTGTGGCAATGGTCACATCGCCACATCAGTTTGTAAGCAAAGGTTGTGTTTTTAGGTTTTGTACAGAGCACTGTCATTATTTTAGTTAGTTTATGTACTAGTTGTATTCAGTTGTCCATATTTTTGTTCATTTGCTTGCGTTTTTCAAGGTCGTGTGTGTGTTGGAAACCCTAGGCTAGCACTTGTCCAAGTAGATCAAATCTGAAATCTTTTTGAAATCTCATTAGCTTTCTTCAAGAGGGGTTGGTTTCTTCTTTGATAGTTAACTCCCTAGTAGAGCACAAGCAGCAGATAATTATCTAAGGTTTTTCCTCAATATATCTTGTTTTGGCCAATTATGAAAAAATAGGTTCATACTGCTATTTCAAAATGTATCAATGTCATTTCTCCAACTATTTTGACCTTCAAGCTCTTGAATCTAAATCTGATTGCACATTTGTATTGGCTCCTTCCCCTAGTTTCTCTTATAATGTTTATTCTCCAAAAGCATGTGTCGGTTTAAATTATACTCTTTAACTTAATGGATCCACATCTTTCCCCTTTTGCTTACCTTTGTGCATTATTGCCTTAATGATGAACATGTCAGTTGTGCTGTTTGTCAAAGTGTGCAGGAAGTGGAAAATCTTGGCCTCAGACAGCAATTTATGGTTTAACTTATTTGAAGAAAGATGGGGCATAGATCGTGCCACATTTTATGCCCCCATAGATTCGAAGTCATGTAAAGAAGTGTATGCAGTACAAGATCGTTGTGATTGAATTGGATTGTAAGTGAATCTATTTGCAGTTATTTTTCATTTCCAAGTTTTGCATCTTTTTATAGTCCAGTGAAACAGAGAAGACAATTGGGAATAAACGTTTTCCCTCCCACTAACCCGACCTACCCCATGGCCCCTACTGAGGCTCAAACCTTGAACCTTTCAGGCTTATACCATGCTTAGTAGGAGGAGAAGTTTTTTGTTTTGTCACTTAGAAATTGTGTTCTCAATAGAAATCATTTGTTCAATAAAAAGAACTAGCCTTGTGACTCCAGGGGGTGGAAGATAATAAGGGAAGGAAATGAGTACTACCTTGTCCATCAAGGTGAAATTCAACGATATTTGGGTTCAAGAAGACAGCTAGAGAGAGGAAATGGTAGCAGTTTAGTTAGCTCAGGAAAAGGCCTTGCAGGACCTTTGGAAGAAGAGGAACCTTGCATGGGGATTCTAGACCGAATCATTTTCTTCATTGGGGACTTGGAAGCTGCTTCGGTATGCGCCAAGCGAAGCCGGGTGTTGTATATTGTTCTCAGTGAGATGCTGAGAGTGTAATCTGATTCTTTTGTCCATATGTAAGCTGTAATGTGGTATATATATGACTAGTGCTGGGAAATTTATTCGGGTTGAAACCTGTTATTGTTTTTGTTATTTTTTTTTTGAAATTCATTTATCTACTTTGTAACAAAATCAACTTAAAATATATTATTTAGAGGGTCGTATCTAGCATACAAAGTTTCCATTATTATAAAAAGATATGTGCGACCCAATAAACCAGCTAGGGGCATTGATGCTCCCAAAGACATGTTTTTTTTAGTTTAATAGTCAGGTGTGTTTATTCAAAAACAAGTCATCCATTCCAAAAGTAAGAGAGGGATAAATTTTTCATAGTTTGGTTCTAAGAGATTGTCAAGATTTGAACTCAAAACATCTAAGTTTATAGATTGTCTCTGTTAAAGAATTCATGATAAATTTTAAAACCCCATCCTACTTTGTAAATATTTTCCAATTGAACACAAGCAAAGAACAGCAAGCAGGTGCATTTCAAACTAATTTCTGGTAAAAATTAATGAACAATATGGTGTTCTAAAGGATCATTTACACCGTTTCAAACTGTCATGAGCAAAACTGACATCTTAATAGATGCTTAAACATGAGAACTATATTAGAACAAGAAATAATTTAAATTATACATAACAAAATATAGAATATCCCAACAGTAAGAGATGCAGACGCCAAACTGAGGCTAATGTGACTCAGTTCGCTTTAAGGCACGGTCCCGTACCTCTCTTTTCCTTTCTTTGCCTGCAGACCACTAATTGTAGTTTAAATAAAATGTGACCATCACCATTTGAATAGAACGTAGCATCAAGTAAGCCAAATCCTGTGACAGTTTGTGGAATGAATTAGGCGGTGTTTTTCAATTTTGGAATCAAGCATCGTTCAACGGCTCAGCCTCGTTGTCCTTTTCCTTTAATGCTGTCCAATCTTCTGTCTCTGTAGTGAAAACACATGTTGCAACAGTAAGCACCTAGAAAAGCTTCATGCATGGACTAATAATACACTATAATTACTAGTCATTTTATTTCTGCTTCAAAATTGGTACTACATAAGCCTGAAACAAAAATAGTACAATAATGAATCATGATTTGAAAACTCAAGAGTTCTAGTGCAGAACTACTAACTTGACTTCTCTGCTATCATCAATAGCCGCCTCTGCAAGATAGATGCAACAAAGAGGAAAATCGAGCACATCCCGAACATTACAGTGATAGGGAACGCATTAACCTTCATATACATACAGAAAATTAGTAACATAAAAAGGACCTGATGGTGCATGATAAAAAGTAAAAGCAAAAGAAGGCATTGTGTGCAGTATAGAGAAAGAGGAGGGTCAATATTCTCTAATACAGGCCAAAAATAATTTTTTTGCCACAGTAACTATGTTCCGGCCAAAGAAAGCAAAATTTACAGCACAATTCTATTTCTATGAGCAGAGTGCAGTCTTAAGGTGGAGCAACAAAGGATAGAAAGTCCAAAGACATACATTGTAAAGAACGATGCAAACAAAGATGTTGAGAGGAATGCGGAAAAAGTTCATAATGGTGCTCCTCGCCTCCTCAGGAATGTATTGCGACCTCATCTTCACAATGGAAGGCCAGAATATACCCACACAAGCCTCAAAGGTACAGAAGCCAATAAGCTGGATACAACCTGCAAATGAGATGCTTCCACCTTCCACCTTAGAAGGAGCTACCAAAAACTGTTCCAAATAAGCAAATTAGAGATGGCCATAACCAGAGAATTTAAGAGAAAGAAAAAAAGGAAACATGCAACCCACTACATACAGTAGTCACAATAGGAAGCCGAAGAGAGGCAGCAGAAACCACAAAAACAATCTGCATATAGCTCTCAACTCTTAATGATGTGCGGGCCATCAAGCGAGACGCAATAGTGCTTCCCAGGATTGAAGCCAGCATAAAAGTTGCAAATATAAAACCGTGGGGAATGTCCTCCTCATTTGGGCTCAAAGCAGGTGTCCAGAGGAACACAAAGGTGTACATTGACCCTTCAAAGAGGGATTGTATTGCACCAAACAATGCAATCTTCTCATCTGATCTACATAAACCATACTACAGGGTCAACAAGGAATACGAACAGGAATAAAAAAATGGACACTTAGCAAAATATATAGATTGACAATGAGAAAGCAGCCAAAAACCATTTAGGCACAAAAAAATCTGACCACCATTTAAAAAGAACACCAGTGAAAACCCAAGAAGAACGTCGCATCCTGGAGTGGTGATATAAGATATAGGTAGCCTGTTCTTTATTTCTGTCTTTCAAAATTAAAACTGAAGCCAATCACTGGGAAGAATCATTGAATGGTAAGTCCTTAATCACTGCTTTTATACTGTATGCAGTACCCAAGGGCTACTCCAGGAGTATTTTATGGGCTGTGAAAGTATTTGAGATCTTAAATAGGTCTCTACCTGAAGCAATGGCCACAGCAGCACCGTTGAACTGGGTAAGCAAGTCCTTGTTCTCTGAAGGGTCACCATAGTTCTCACCCCACGATGATGGTATAACTGCCATGCCAATGGCAAGAAAGCATGCAGTGGCGTCAAAGGGGGACACAGGCCCAAGACTCATGGTATCAACTAGCAGATTTCCGAACAACCCGGGCACAATAGCAACGAGACCATTGCTGAGAAATATTGGGAGAAAGTTATTGAGAGCCATTGTTGATCAAATCCTCTCTGCAGAAATAGGCAGAAAACAGGGTCAATGACAATGAAAATGAGGTAACTTCTATGGACAAACTACAAACTAGTTGTTGCCTAGAGTTGGCTTACACTTACACATCCAAAAACGGATGACAAAGAAAGAACCACAGCTTGACGGTTCAAGTCCTTCATCGCCAGGTCAGAAAGTATCAATGGAAGGCAGCAGAAAAGAACAAGAAAAACAAAATGACAATATGACGAAAGGGAAAAGTTTGATGACAAGTGGGGATCCCTAGACACAATCTTTTGAGCATCCTATCCAAAATAGGAGCAAAATAAACAAGGGCGGAACGATCAAACAATTCCAGTTCTGGATTTCTGTAGCCAGTGTTTCTGGCAACTAGGGCGCAATTGAAAATTATTAGAGTCAAAATTATGGATATAGATCCAGTTTCACTAAGTAGTTTTCTTTTCTTATTTCTTGGAAGAATTTATGTGACTACTATAATCTGGTTACAAGAAAGAGAGCCCAATGAATCAGCAGACATCAGGACAACAAGATTAATCTAAAGAGTTTGCAAGATACAAGAAATTTAAGCAAAACTCTGGAAGCATTATGATGATGAAAAAATTGCTTACCAATGCCATCCGTCATCAAAGTTCTAGAAAAGGCTCCAACAAGAAATAGGCTTTTAGAAAGAAAGTTCCCCCATTGTGCAAAAAAACTACAGATTATGTTCACACCTAGGGAATCCAATTCTCAGATGCAATCATGCTCACACAAAAAACCACAGTTACGCATCAGGATCAATAATACTGTTCATCAAAATTCAAGTATGAACTGTAATCAATTCAATATGGATTCCTCTGTCACCAGTCACTAATACAAGTAAGAGCCTTTTACCTTGTTGTGTTCAGCCACAAGCCATGATTCAAAAGCTGAAAATAGGAGAAAAGTGGCAATACCACCCAAAATATGACCCAACATCAAAACTTTGAACTGATGAGAATGCTTGGTAATACAGGTTAATATGTAAGTAGTGCAATAAGTCACGCATGCTCATTTCCGACCCCTGAATTTAAGTAATGAACCATCAAAAAAACATGTGAATAAGCTATTTCGTCACAAAACAATGTGGGTACCTAAATCAGAAAAGAAAATCTCACCATATGTCAGCTGGAGATCCAACAATGATGCCAAACAACATTGAAGATCCAAATCCTTCGATAAAGAGCTGCCCAATTTCTCCTTTCCCATAGCCATACGTCATTCAATTGTTAAGACAACTTTCACTGTAGACAAAGGCTAGTATGGCTACCATGTTTTGCTCTTGAGAACAGCTACACCATGTGTACTGATGCATGTAAACACAAGCACTACGATACTTATAGATGGTCAATATCACATGTTATGCCTAACAGGAGACAAAGTTATCCTATTGGAAGCATGCATCTGTCTTTGTTTTTTCAGTATTCCAGAACTTACTTTTTAAATTGTTGAACTCGACTGGTTTTTGCCTCTCCGCGGTCGGTGCAACCTAAAGGTGGTCGCCAAAAACAAGTAGATCATGGGGTGGCATTCGGTCTCCTCATCATCCAAAAGCTCGCAAATGTCTTCGTGCTCTCACCAAGAAAAGGCTATTACATCACCTAGAGGATGGTCGTTGAATCATCACCACAGTGGTTGATCGGCCCACGGCTCAGCCTCTCTCAAGCGACTATTCATGCGGGTATCCTATCAAGCACCAACAGTGCCCATTGTTGAATGCCTCAATCGGCTGCTGCAATTGCAAGGTACACTCAATTCTTACGAGGGTGGGTAAATCCCTACGCGATTGGCATTATCGAAGAAGTGGCTGTTATTGTCGCCTCCATACCCCCTCAACAGAAAATCTACACAACGGTCATACTCTCACATGTCAACTGCTGGTCGTGACCAGTTAAACTCATGAAGGGTCTAGTTTTTGCTCAAGAATCCACAATGCACCTCAGTATTAAACTCTCCACTGTACAATAGTGAATTGCATATTATCGAGGAAGTGGTTGTCACCACCACTTATCATCCCCAAAACAAAGCTCTATGATGATCTCTTTGGGCAAAGAAAACTATCACCATATCCTTGCTTAAAACAAATCAAGTTTCTCACTGCTGCTGACTAACTGCTTTCTCTGTCACACCCCAACTCCAAGGGCATGACCAGTTGTGAACCATAAATCCATAACCTATGGAACATGTAAGCCTAACAATAAACTAACAATATAGTAGTGGAAAATAACATTAACACTAAATTGATCTCATGTCAATATGTTAAAGTCAACATACCTAAACCTGTTTGCCCCAATTATCCAAATGCAAGTAAAGAGGGCTATACAATCTATGCTACGGAGGTCACAACACTATTAGTCCCTAATCAATTCCTTGAGTCCGCTATTGACTCTCCAATCGTTTACCTAAAAAAATATTATTTTGAAAACATGAGCTAAAAAGTCCAGTGAATGGAAAGACATGCATATTCAAAGTGGCTGAAAAAAATATTTGACATACGACATGTAAATCAAAGGTTTGGAAAAATAACTTCATCAAGATAATCAATTTCTCAAGAATAACACAATCGGATTCCAACAAGAAATCATATCATAATGGTAGAGACTGTACGATATCCAATAATTGATAGGAACCAAATACCAAATACAATAACTGATATTAAAAAAATATGTATGGCATACGATAAATAATCATAAACAAAGCCAATAAAAACGTTGTGACAGTAACAGATTATATCATCATCTCATACTGGTAAGGACTTGTACGATATCTGGGAACCATACCAAATGCCAGAAAATACTCAAGGTTGGATCCAACACCGTACTTAGGGTCACCACATGTTGCTACTCGGGAACTGTTCCCTAAGACGATTTGGTGAAGGTCACCAGGACGCACCAAGAACTGTTCCTTCAACCTTTGAGCACTAGGGTCACCTCAGCCTCCCCCGAGTCTATTCCTTAGTGGCCAGGGTCACCCGCACACAGAGAAATAATTTTTCTGGACTTTTAGTACCAAATGCCAGAATATATCTCAGGGTTGAATCCAACATCGTACTTAGAGTCACCACGGGTTGTTGCCTGGGAACTGTTCCCTAAGTCGATTCGGTGAAGGTCACCAGGACGCACCAGATATTGTTCCTTTAACTGTTAAGCACTAGGGTCACCTCAGCCTCCCTCGGGTCTGTTCTCTAGTGGCCAGAGTCACCCGCACACAGAGAAATAATTTTCCTGGACTTTCAATCTTGGTCTCATTCACTATCACAAAGTCTCACCATATAAACAAGCGATTGAGTCACAATACTTCACAAAATAATTAATCAAAGTAAGAAGAATCACATGCCACAAGTATTTAGGCACTTAGTAAAATATTTTATAAAGGTAGTAATGAACAAGCATTATGTATTATTTTAAAATGTTTAGGGATACGGAAAAAAATACGTAGCATGTCAATCCACTCACCTCAAGTCCAGATGATATGCTTCTTAAGTGTTGCTTGTTACCCGAAGTAGAGTGAGATGTTATTGATGCCTTTTCTCTTTTTCTCACAATTTCCTTTGATGAAGTGCTCTTTCTTCCTTCTTCTCTCTTTTACTCTCTATTCTTTCTTGAAAGTATAAGACTACTTGTGTACTTGTATCTTAATCCAATTCTCAAATGCCCTATTTATAGAGCATCCTAGGATTATTCTAGAGAATATTGACATGTGACATTCTTGAGGGAGATTCCCTAGAATATTTTACCATCTCCCTTTTCCTAGATCCTTCTAGGTTTCAAGCTTATTTTGCACATAACAATTCTATTTTTCACAAGTATCTAGATTCATCTATAATATTCTAAAGTCTTCTTCAACCTTCTAAAATATTTTAGACTTCTCTATATTGTTCTAGATTATTCTAGGTTATTCTTGAACTTTCTAAAATCTTCTATATTATTCTAGATTTTTCTATAAACTTCTCCAATATTCTAGATTATTCTAAATTCTTCTTTAAAATTTTTCTTATTCCTTACAAGATAATATTTCTAACTAGTTCCTTGCCAAATTGGAACGGGATATTACATTCTCGGTCTAGCACTCTGGTGTCATATGCTCGGCACTAAGATGGTAAGACTCTCACCAAGAGTTGTAGGCCTATCAATCCCAAGGTGCTCAATCCATCTGTCAAAGGCCAATGAGTGATCGGTTTATCACCAAAGATTGGCTCCACTAGTAGCAATCCCTATACCCCCCCAAGAACCCTTCAATGACAAGCACCATCAAAGGCCATTCTGTTGAGACATGGAAATCCACTTCAGCGTCTATACGACTCAAATAGTGCAAATCCACACCGATCACTTAGATCATTTTATATTCACTTGGACACTATCCTTCAAGAAGTATTTTGAAATGCGGCATCTTCCTAGCAATCACCAAATAAACATGCTCGGCATCAGTTCAAACTGGGCAGCACCATCAAGATGAAGATCGGCACAATCCTATACTACTGTTATGTCGACCCAGGCTAACCAAAGCAAGCCCCCAGGATTTTGCATACTAGAAGTGGTGGTCGATCTCACCTAGGGACCACCGTTTAGTGGTCAATGTATCCTAGCATGGCCTCTCAACGGTAAGTAACTCTCCATTTTCTCCATAAAAATGGTTGAAGACCCAAAGTTTGGGAGGCCTTGGTATGAGAACTCTCAACTCCATACCTCACACACACATTCTTACCATTTTCCTAGTTTTATACACTTGTCTATTCAGTTATTGNGGTATGAGAACTCTCAACTCCATACCTCACAGACACATTCTTACCATTTTCCTAGTTTTATACACTTGTCTATTCGGTTATTCATCACAATACTGACTTAGGTATCGGAGGGTCCCTCTAACCTCATGTTGGTTTTGTAGCTCATGGACCGGATAATATTCCAAAACTAGGGACACACCTCAATAAATTTCAGTGATTGTGCGAATTTTTTGTTCGTATAATA